TATTTGTGAGACCTATCTCTTTTTACCTACTGCTGTTTCTGGAACTTATCTTTTTTTTATCTATTTCTGGAACCTATATCTTTTTTGATATTTCTATTTGTGAGACCTATCTCTTTTTACCTACTGCTGTTTCTGGAACTTATCTTTTTTTTATCTATTTCTGGAACCTATATCTTTTTTGATATTTCTATTTGTGAGACCTATCTCTTTTTACCTACTTTTAATTATAAGATATTTTTTTTTTCCCTTGCCTTTTTTATGTTTCGGGGCATATCACTTTTTTCCACATTTATTTATGGGACTTATGTTTTTTAACAGATCTTTAGTTTTAGAAATTATTTCTTTTGGCTATTCTTATTCTGGACCTTACTGTTTTGTCTATGACTTCAGAATTTCAATGAACATGTATTTGTATGAATTTCTCTTAAAACAAATGTTGACTGTATTTATATGTCTACCTCTTATTGATTACATATTAAATAATGGCCCACACAACAGGGGAAAGGCTCATTATAACAGCTGAATAAATATCTAGGAGTTAAAATTTTAATTGGAAATGTATATTAGTTTTGTAATTGAACCACATAAAGAGGATTAAAAATGAAAGTTTTTGTTACGGTGAACATGATAAACTAACCATTGAAGAAAAATATAAGGTAATATTTTTTAAAGTAATAAATTGAAACTATAACTTAAACTCAAAACTTTGGTGCAGAATGTCTTTCTTATTCTATAATTAGTCCAACAATTTGTTAAGGTAACAATTTTTTCAAAACTGGATTGTGTCTTGTACTTTCAGCCCTTGTACAAAAGCATATCTCTATGTTTTCTGAGATTTTTTTTGTTTGTGAAAATGAAACTTTGAAGAAATGAATGATTTATTATTAGGTAAAAGTGTAAAGTCTATTAAATATTTTTTAATTTTAAAGGATTGCTAGACCTGGACCAAGAAGAAGACCTGCGATAGATCTGAAATACTTTACCTATGGATTTGCCTTCCTGCAGGACATGGTAGAACATGCCATTATTCACGAACACACGGGCAGACTGGAAGATACAGGAATATACATGCAACAGTTTCCATACCCTTGTTACATTTTTGATCAGTGAGTTTTTCCTTTTGATGTCAGCTTTAGATCTCAACTCAGGTGTATTTATTCACTAACCTCTAGTCATAATGAAACCAGAATACTTTATTTTAAACTAAAAAAAAGGAATGCAGTTGTTCATTGAATGGTAGGACTATTGTGTTGTAAATAAAGTTAAATCAAAAGTTAAGTAATCAAGTGACACGTGATCAGCACACTGAATAATGTTGAAAACACAGAGAAGACTTCTATATCATTAGGTCAGAGGTCAGAAGGAATATGGTTTGAATTTGCTACCACTGTAGCTGTGAATATGGAAATATCTCTGTTTCAGGTAACATTAACAAAAAACTAATTCTATACACACTCGAGAATAAATGATGCAGTAGAACTATCCATGGAATTCTGTGAATGGATTTGCTGCAGAAAGTAATGCCTCAAACTAAATTTAGCACATATTCTCAACTGGACGTAACTAGTTCCAGAAAATGGGCATGCTATAAGAGAGTATTTGCATACCATATATTCAACTCAAATTAGTTTTACTCAGATAAATCTAGAACCAAATTAATTATAAGATATTAACATTTTTGTTTCAAATATTTGGATTTATCTTGTAGGTTCATCATGGCCATTTCTAGATCCTTCCCAATGTTTATGGTTTTGTCCTGGGTGTACACTTCTGCCATGATAATCAAAAGCATTGTCCATGAGAAAGAACAACGGCTGAAAGAAGTAATGAAAGTTATGGGTCTCAGTAATGGTGTACTTTGGCTGGCTTGGTTCATCAACTCCTTCTGTTTTATGACCTTGAGCTGTGCTCTTCTGACTCTTATCCTAGTGGTAAGTTTGACTTAATATATAATTAAACTATTAATGTAACTGAGAAATCTAAAACTCTTGATATTAGTCTTAGTGTTATGTTTCAGTTAACAAAGAACTTTAAAACTCTTAAGTTCTCTCTTAACACTAGTCCAAGTGGTAGTTATAATTTAAAGAGGAGTAATAGCATTAATTGTCTTACAGTAGATAAAAGTTCAACTTCACATAGTACAGACTGTAGTGCTCACCTTGAAAATCAGTATGATAGTTATCATTAATCTAAGAAGTATTTTGTGTCAAAGAATTAGATTACATTTAGGACAATGAAAGCTCTTTCAAAGCATAGAAACAATATATATCTCTCAAACATTTCTGAAATGTGCCACTAAGTAATATATGGTGTTTATTGATAATCATTGGAAAAAGAAATAACCAGTTGTTAGTGTAGTCAGTAACCTTAAAACCAGGCAAGAAAGGTCATACCTTACTTGTGACCCAAAATTCTCTAACGATGTAGATGTCAAGTTAATATGTTAAGGTTTTGTTGTAAAACATTTCTGTGTTTACAGGTTTCTTGTAAGCTTTCAAAGAAGATTACAAAATAGCACATTAAGCTTAAGAAAGTACAGTTTATCTGTTACTGACTCTGTAATTTTGTTCTGTTTATTTACTAGTTTGTGTAATTTTATGTGTTTCGATAGAAGCATCTGTGAATTGTTACATGGATACAGCTTTAGTTAATCTTTGTTTTATTTTTTCAACCCAAATTTTTTGTATGTCATTTGATAGAAAACTTAATCCAATCTAACCAATCCTCGGGTATGTTTCTTTCCATGGTAAAAGCTTATGAATATCTTGCTTATGTGTAGTTTTTGATAATTGATCCTACTATTTCAGTTTCCAAATATACTAAGACAATGGAATTGAAAGTCTCTATGGGCATAATTTTCTTTCTAGTTTGGCAAAGTTCTTCTTCACTCTGATGCCATCATCATCTTCCTCTTCCTGATGTGTTATGCCGTGGCCACAATCATGCAAAGTTTTCTCTTGAGCACATTTTTTTCAAAAGCTAATATAGCAGCTGCTGCAGGAGGGATTGTGTTTTTTATTCTCTACCTGCCATACAACTTTGTCGTTCTGTGGGAAGAAGAACTTACTGTTCATGTCAAAACAGCTGTGGTGAGTACTGTCATGATGAAATTTCTGTCCTCAGGTAATAACTTGCAGTTCATTTTAAAACAGCTGAAGTGGGTACTGTCATTGTGGTAAATATATTTGGCTATCCCTAGTCAGGTTTAGCTACTTATAGTCAAGTTTAGATGTCCCTAGTCAGGTTTAGCTGCTTGTAGTCAAGTTTAGATGTCCCTAGTCA